TGCAATTCCCCTCCCTGCGCACCGCTGCAGCCCCCCCGCTCCGTGCGCCCCTGGGTGCTGCCCTCCCAGTGCCCCCCCACTCTCTCTCGATGTGCGGCCGGGGCCCGGACCCTCGCCCACCTGCCCGCCGATAGTGACATCGAAGAAGACCACGGGGTTGTTCGGGTTGGACGCCAGCACCGCCATCACGGCTCCTGCTCCCGGAAGCGTGGCACGTGAATTGGAAGTGGCAGTGGAAGGCGGGGCGGAGCTCAGGCCTCCCCTGATCTGCCCTGGCTGCCCGCTGAGGGCGGGAAGTTGTGGCCTTCAATAGAAAAGGGTCAGGGAGCTGTTGGAGTGGGTCCAGAGAGGCCACAAAAATGCTCAGGGCCTGGAGCACCTCTGTTATGGGGACAGGTTGAGAGAGCCGAGGTTGTTCAGTCTGGAGAAGAGAATGTTCCGGTGAGACCCTATAGCGGCCTTCCAGGACCTGGAAGAGCTACAGGGAAGCTGGGGAGGGACTTTTACAAGGTCATGGAGTGATAGGACGAGGGGGAAAGGCTTTAAACTGGAAGAGGGGAGATTTAGACTGGATATCAGGAAGAAATTCTTCGAGGGTGGTGAGGCCCTGGCACAGGTTTCCCAGGGAAGCTGTGGATGCCCCCTCCCTGGCAGTGCCCAAGGCCAGGTTGGACGGGGCTTTGAGCAGCCTGGGCTGGTGGAGGTGTCCCTGCCTGTGGCAGGGGTTGGCCTCGATGAGCTTTGAGGTCCCTTCCAACCCAAACCATTCTGTGACTCTAGGAAGCAGGAGCAGGCAGCAATAAGTAGGAGTGGCAGGCAGCACAGCCCCATGGCTGGCATCACAGAGAGCTGGTGGCCCAGGAGCATTTTGCCTGTGAGAAATTGTGTGTGGGAAGTAATTTGTTAAAGCATTAGGGTATAGAAACATGGCTGAGGCCTTGAAAAAGTTTTATAAAACGTGGTGAGAAACTTACCAAGAAAAAAGTCAGTAGAACCCTAATTGGTACTGGGTATGGTGGAAAGCGAAAGAATTTGCATTGTATATAGAAAGGAAGAAGGGGGGGGAATTCAGATGGAGTTGGTAACTTCTGGAGTATTTGTGAGGGTTGTAAATCTGTCAAGGCCTGGAAGATTTGTACGTTCACAGACGGGTAAATCTTAAAGACAGAAAGGAGGGTGCCTCAAAGCTAAGATATGCAGAACATCCTTGAAGATAAGGAACTAATGAGCTAACACAGCTGCAAGAAACAGACTTAAATCACGACTGGTTACACAGAGACAATAAAGGTGAACAGTTTACAGTGATGAAGACAATGAGCCTTCATCTTCGCTACCCTCAACGACCACCCCAGAATTTTAGTGCACATGCGACAATGGGCGGAAACTTATGTTAAAGATTTCCCCGGAAAACTGTTGAATATGTAAATAGCTTTGTAAAAATGTGTGGCTATGATAATGAATGTTACTATAAATAAACCTGAACCTATTAGCAGCTATGCTTTCCAGGCATCCTACTTCATGAATTCACCCAGCATGCTCCTAATAAACTTTTGCTTCACAGAATTGATCCGTCTCTAAATCTGCATTTTGTGAGCGCATTTCTCACGTGCCTATGGCCCCAGAGTCCCTGAAGTCAGCCCTGTGACAGTTCCTGACCTGTGATGCCAGGCAATGGGGGAGGGTATCAGAGATGTGTCAGAGGGATTTGGGATGCTGGTGTTACCTTGGTTGTCCAGAGAGATTCTTTATCCCTCATGGACAGCTCTAAGCTTCCCTTATTTCCAGGACCAGGCTGCTGCCCTCTCTTCTTTGGTGCCACCCTGCCAGGGAAACCCCTGTGTGTGCTCTCCAAGATGTCTCCCGCCACTGGGGCTTTCCTTGGCAGCTTGACAGGGCTGTGCTTCAGCGGGGTTCAGGCCTGGCTTTCAAGCATGCCTCCTCCATGATTTGTGCAGACACACAGCAGTGCAGAGGGGAGATATGAATGAGATTCCCTTTTTTCGTTTGAGATTTTCATGGACTCTGGCAAGTGGCACCTGAGAGGAAGCTGTTGATGTGTGTGAAGGCAACCACAGAAGTCACTGCACAGGCCTTGACCAACAGCAAGGAATTTGACTTTGCATGCATCAGCATCCTGGTGTGCCGAGGAAGGAGAGCGGTCATGAGGTTCTCCAAAGACCTGCTCTGACACGTGGATGGGACAGAGATCCTGGCAGGTGCTTTTGTCTGCGTACATTTGGTGCATTTTCAGTGCTCCCTCTGACTCCTTTGCAGCCAGGTCAAAGCCATGGCCTTGGGCTGGTTTTCTTTGGTATTTTAGGTGACTGGGCCTGGCCTCCTGCCGTGCCTCAGGGGCAAGGTTATCAGGGGTATCTGGAAAGATGCATGGGTGAGTCCAGAGTCACCAGAAAAGCACATCCAGGGGTCTAGAGATGCCCTGAAGCACACACCCTGTGAGAATGGGACATCCTGAAATACACATCAAGCTGTTTGGGGTGCCCCAAAAGGCAAACCCAGGGCTCTGGGTACAGCGAGGGGTCTGAGGATGCAATAAATGCACCATGGGAAGCTCAGGCAGTGCTGACGTGCACACTGTGAGGTGTATTGAGAAGCCAAAAGGCACAACCAGAGACTCTGACAGTGCTATTGCTGAGAGCTGATGATGGGCAAGGTGGGGCTGCTTTCTTCATCCTCCCTCAGATCCTGATGCCTCCTGAGCCCTCTCCCTGCCCTTTATTCCTCCCCCAGCTTAGAAAGCAGAAGAAATGCCCCAGAGCAAGGCTCTTCTCCAGAGCTTCCCAATGTGACCCACTTTGCCCCTGGGGCCCACAGGTGTGGCTGTGTCACAGATGCCCCTTAGTGTGCCCAGACAAATCTTCACACTGCTCTCCCCTTGGTAAAATGCCAACATCTCTTTCTTTCTCACTTTTGTTTGCAGACTGTCAGGCTAATGGGCTTGGGCACCGTCTACATCGTAGAAGACTACTTCTGTGATGGGAAGAAGGGGAACTGCAGGGTCCAGAGATCTGTGTTCCAGCTGGACAAGCCATTTACAGTGTGGAAAAAGCTCCACTATGAGCCCAGCTCACAGCCTGGTAAGAGGAGACCTTCAGACCTGTGCTTGCCCCTCGACACAGCTGGGGTTTCCCTCCATCCCCTCCTGGACAGGGGCAGCAGTTTGCATGGGGACAGGGTGCTGGAGCCCACAGGCAGGCCCTTTGTGGCTGAATGGGGAGCGGTGGGGTGGGAGCAGCGTCAGTGGGCTCTTGAAGGCTCATTTTGCTGAAGGGGATGCGAGTCTGTGAAGGCTGATCAAGTGACTTTGTTGATGGGCAGTTTCTCCGCAGAGGAGTTAGAGCTGCGGAGTCGATCTACGCCGGGGCCACCTGCCACCTCCACATGTCCAAGAAAAAAATCTCAAACTGCGTCAACACAACTGCAAGAGTCATTGCATGGGCCTTGACTGAAGGCAAGGACTTCGACTTTGTCTTCAAGAACTTCGGCATCCTGGAGTGCCGAGGGAGGAGAGTGGTTTTCAGGTTCTTCGAAGACCTTCTCCGAAACATGGACAGGAGCAGGATCCTGGCAAAGGCTTTCCTCCAAGTGCGTTTGCCACGTTTTCAGTGCTCCCTCTGACTCCTTTGCAGCCGGGCAAAAGCCACGGCCTTGGGCACATTTAATCCCTACTCTCTGTCCTTCTTGCAGACACCAAGCCCTTCCCTGAGGCCCATGGTCGTAGCCCACAGGGAAACGGCAGTTTCCCAGATGCCTTCTGGGGGGATCTTGGTGTTCCCACAGTGAGTATGTTTGCTTCTGGTGCCCTGGACTGACCAAGCCAGCAGCTTCTCAGCCCCCTTTGGTGCAGCTTCTTAGTGGGAGCTGCAGGGGACGATGTTTCTGCACACTGAAACCACTGGCACCTTCTTGTTTGCAGGTTTGTGTTCAGAAACGAGCAGTCCCAAAAAAAAAGTGGCTAAAAAGGCCCTATACACCCCTGTTCTGCCCGGTCTGATCCCTTCCACCCAGTCTGATCCCTTCCATTCCCACCCAAGCATCCTCAGAGACCCTCCATCACTGTTAGTGAGCATTCAGTCTACTCTTCCTTTCTCTGGATGTTCAGATCCCCTCCTTTCTTCTCCACACATGCTCCTATTCCATTTCCCTCATCCTCCTCCATCTCCCTTCATGTGCACAGATTGAGGAGAAAAGAGAAAACCGGGCACATGGCAGGGAGTGGTTGGGATCAGAGAGTGCAGAAGGGAACTTCTTTGAGTTTTATTGACAAAACTTGTAGTTTCTGACTGGACAAGGAATTAGGGTTCAGAGGAAGATAGGCTTCACGCCACCCCTCTTCCACTTCCCTGAGTTTATCTGCAAATTCCAGTCTCCAGGGAGATCTGAGATAACACACACACACACTCAGAGTTGGGTATGTTGAAAAAAAGCTGTTGAATAATTTAGTTGAAATATCTCATAGAAATCACCAGGCCAGTCCATTTGGCAATTCTCCCCCTGCAGTCCTTGTCATCCCATGGCAATAGGAGTCCAAAACCTTGCTGTCCAGCTAATATTTTACAAACATCTTTCCCCATTTAGAAGTTCTCGGAGCTGATGCTCTGACTCTTCTCCTGCAGCTGACAGGCTGTGGTGTCTCCAGGTGAAGCTACATTTAAGTACCCAATCTCAGAAGGCTGAGAGGGGGATAAACAAAAGGATGAGTCTTGGCTTTCAGCTCCTCCTTCAAGCTTCATATCCTGCGTGGCCTTCAGGGTGCTGAGAGAGTCTGGCGGTTCTTGCGATGGGAAGCTGAAAAGAAATGTCCTCTCCTAAGTCATTCTGCAAACTCTGTCTGACCCTCTGCCACCTGCACAGCCCCAGCGCTCCTCCCGACAGCTCTGCGAGCAGCACAGGGTGATGGTCAATGCCTTTCACTTGGACTAAGGCTCCAGTACTCTTCCTCCAGTTGACAGCCCCCATCCACCCCAGGCCCTACCCCGACTTGTGACGGACTTGAGCCAAAACGCTCAACGTCTCCCTCACCGCATGCAGAGAGGCATTCCCTGCCTCCTCCTTTTACCCCACGGTACCTGGTACGGGGAGATGGCAACACCTTACTCTGTAGTTGGCGTTCGGAGAAGTTAACACTCTTCAAGTCCTGGAAGGAGGAAGAGAGGCTTTCAAAGGAGGAGGTGTGTGTCAGACCCCGAATTTCAACAGTCTTGGGCTTCAGAGTGCCCCCAGCTGCACTGCCAGTTCTCCCCAAGAACTCCAGCCCCACAGAGGTACTAATCATAAATTTGTCCTTTTGGTCTGAATTTAAACAAAACAAAACCAAACCAAGCCCCTAACTAGCCCAGGTGAAATAAACAGGAAGAAATAAAACACGGTGGAACACACACACAGCTCTTGCTGCCAGGCCCCAAACAGCATTTGCGTCCTTAACCAACCATTTCCAACCAAATTGGGTTCTCCCCACAAAGTTCTTTGTTAACTTGGTCAATCCAAGACAGAGTTTTTAGATAAGGCATATCTTCATTCAGCTCAGTGTGGCTGGTATTACCAGTCAGCTTGGTCTGAGGTTTTTTGGCTTGCAGAAATAACATTCCAAACCACACTGCTCTGGGTTATTTCTCTTAATTTTGGAGCTAATTTTAAAACTAAGGTCTTTTAACATATCTGAATCTGTAAAAGAGCCAAAAAGAAATTTCTGTCCTTGTGGAAAACAATCTCCTCTCACAGCAGCTTGGGATGGAGCTGGTATGGCCAGTGTATGGAGCTTCCAGCTCCCCACAGATGCCCTTCTCCCCAGCAAACCCATTGCACTCTACTGTGCGTTTGGTGCCCCTTTCCATCCCAACTGATGGATCGATTCAGCTCTTCTCCAGCACCCTCAGCTGCAGGTACAAACACCAACCCTCATTCAAGAGTTCAAGGAGTGGCCAGATGACACTCTTAGTCATATGGTTTAGTTTTAGGAAGCCCTGCATGAAGCAGGGAGTTGGACCCAAGGATCCTTATAGGCGCCTTTGAACTTGACATATTCTACCATTCCTTTGCAGGAGACATCAGCTCCTGTAACCTGTCTGCTGAGACCAAGTCCTCTCAGAGTCTCACCTCCGTGTGGGCAGCGTGGATGCTCCTCGGGGCGCGCTGCGAGGTGGGCATGTGGCCAGAGAGCTGGAGTTTGCTCTCATGCAGCCGCACATTCTCCTCGTCCAGGATCTTCACTCTGAGCATGTCACACATACAAGGCACCAGTTATTTTCCTTCCAGCCACACTATGTTTTCAAAGGGGCAATTTTTGAACCTCAGACCCTTTGGCCTCCACAACTTTCAGCTGTATCCCTAGGGCTTTGATGGGGAAAAGAGCTAATTAAATCCCACAGCACTAGTGACTGAGGCACATTTCAGGCTTTCCTCTGGGTCTCTTAAGAGAAATGGCCATAAAAGCAGAGAAGCACTGGGAAGAGGCAGGCTCCCATAGGTAGGGACATCATCACATGCCTACCTGCTCTGTGGGGTGGCAATCACAGACCGGTGGCTCCAAGGGGTCTCCTCTTGGTCAGTTATTTTCTGCAGGAGCCGTCTTCTCTCCTGGAGTAGTTTCTCATTCTCTGCAGTGATCTGGGCAATCAGCACCTTCCCCTGAGCAATTTTGCAGGAGGAAATAACAACCAGAGGTCACGCTTCGCTCTTCTCTATCCTTTGTAATCCTTAGAGCGCTTTACCAAAGGGGTCATCACCAAGCATGTTCCCTCCTAGAAGTGATACGCTATTTGATGTAACATACCCCAAAAAGAGGTTTTTGAGTCACTTCCCACAGTAATATTTCTGAGGCAAAAGATGATGGAGCTTAGGTAGTTTCTGAGTGGGTTTGAAGACACGAGTTCTCCTGAGGACAAACTTGAGCCAGGAATTTCCTTTTGGCTCTTTGTTCCTGCAAGGATGGGCTGGAGCCCCTTGGCAACACAGCCATTTCCCAGGGCAGCATCAGCCCCGTGCACGGAGCATCGGGCAGAGCTCTCCGTGCTCCAACTGCTTGGTTTTTCAGTGCAATCCCACTGCCTGCAAACTGGCTGTTCCTAAACCATCTTTTTTTCCTAAACTGCATTTCCTTTTGGAAAAAGGGATGCTCCTGCAGACACGCTGCTGCCTGCTCCCCTGCCTTCCCTGGTGGGAGAAACTCTTGACGTGCGCTCTCACCTTTTCCACTTGGAGCTTTGACTCGCTGAGCTCATTTTCCAGCTGCTTAATTCTGCTGTCCCTTCGCTTCACCTCGTGGATGAAGGTCTCCTTGGCTCTGCGGATCTTGTCTTTGTGGCGGAGCTGCATTTCATTATATTTCCTGAGGAGGCAGAGACACAAACCTGAGGCTGTGAAATGTTTTTGCATTCTGGGTCAAGAGCAAGGCAGGAGATGTCCTGTATTTACTCAGGCTCTTCAAAGCCTGAACTGGGAGCCTCAGCCATCTACCCAACTCCTTTCTGGCTGACTTTCCAGACTATGTCTTTCACTGATCAGTTTGATTTTGGGGTTTATTTTGTTACAAAAATTAAATTGTTAAGTGCCAACCAAATGGAAATGGACTGAGGGAAAGGGACCCAAAAGCATTCCCAAACTGCCTCCCAGCTTTACAAATCCTCGTGCTTGCCTCTCTCAGCTCTTTATACCAAACAGGGGTATAAAGTCGTCAAAACTGGAAGTAACAGGGAAAGGGTAAGTTGTTTATTTGGGTGGGGATGTGGGTGGTTAAGAGGAAGTGCTCGTGTATGGGGATACAGGCTAAAAAGAAGAATCCTAAACAGCTGTGGTCAGGCAAACAGGTTGCAGTAATCTGCAGTTGCAGTACTCTGGGGAGAAATGAGCAGCTCCATGGATGACCTCTGCCAATACCAGACCCTAAACAGCAGCACCCACAGCCCTCCCTAGGCACTCCCTTGTTTTCTGCCCTGATTTCGGCTGCCAAGGAGAACACGACAGCAGACATGCGATGCAGAACATAACTGCATGCAGGGGTGTCAGGTTAAGACAGATCTCTCTGTGCTAAAGGCCTTGAACAGGAGAGACGAGAAAAGCTACAGAATGGTCAAATCCAGCGTCACTGCCATAATCGGCAATTCCTGGGTAGGATTTTTCAGGTCAAAACATCCCCTGCCACTGCAGTCGTTACCTGATGTACAGATCCTTCTGGTTCAGGAGACGAACTCCTTCCTCATAGAGGGCTTTGTTTTCCTCCTTCAGCAGTGAAAGTTGCTCTGAAAGCTTCTGGTTTTCCTTCTGACACTGGAGGTGCTGGAAAACATCTATTTTTTATTTGTGTGCATGTCCTCAGCTGTAAAGGTCCCTCTGCCTCCTTTCAGTCTGGTTTTCAAAGCTTCTCTGTCATAAATTCCAGTGGTTCCCACTACAGATAGCATCCATCCATTCTGTTCCCCAAGGGCACTGCCTCCTCCCCTTAAAGAAGGGAGGTGTGGGTTCCTGTGCTGCTGGTGGGGCTGTAGGCTTCAACAAGGCAGAGGGAGGTAATGCATCCTCCTAGGCAGCAGTTTCTGCCAAAATTCTCCTGCAAAGTGCTCCATGCTCTGCAAGAAAAGGGTATGGCCTCTCCCCCTCTCCCTTCAAGCCCTCCCTTGCCTTCAGAGCAGCAGCCCCAAGAAACCTACACAAGATGGGATGGTGCTCAGTGGGATCTGCAAGAGCTCAGCACCTGGCTGGATTTGACCCTATTTCCACAGTTCCCAGGCACAGATTTCACACTGGCATGGTCCCATTTCCCCCTGCAGCTCAGTGCTCTGCTCTGGAGTCAGTCACCAGCTCACCTCACCCGAGTCACTTTTCCTCTCATCTTCTAGCACATGCAGGGTCTTGGCCTGCAGCTCCACATGCATCTTGGCCAGCGATGCCTCTGTCTCCCGCGAATGCCGGAGCTGCTGCCGCAGCTCCTCCACCTGCTGCTCCAGGAGCTTCCTAAAAGCACATTGGTGTGGCAGTGAGAGACTGATGTGGAGGCCAACCCACAGTGTGCCACTGGGAATTCAAGGCTGGCCATGATCTAAACACAACATCACGCTGCTCTGCGCCTGCCCTGGGCAACACTGAGGGTCAAAAGAAATCAGTACATCCTGCTTGTCCCCATGTCCTAGTGTCCCTGTGTCCCAGGGTGCATGAAGTATCTGGGATCATCAGTCCCAGCTGCACAAGAACGGGGACTGCTGGCATCTGGAGGGTAAACCAAATCACTGGGCTGGCAGGAGGGGCCATGCACCTTCTGAGGCAGCCAAAGTCTCCAAAAACCTTTTAAATCTCCCGAAGAGGGGATCCTGTGGAGCTCTGACACTGGCAGGTCAAAAGGAGAGCTAAGAGGTAAACCCAGAGGTGCAGTGAGACTCCCTGAGCCTGCCCAGGGCCAGCCATGGCACTGCAGGAGGCAGCTGCAGGCTGGCACAGCAGCATCTGCTGCACACACTTGCCCTCTGCACACAGCACAGGCTTTACCCAGCTCTGGGTACCTTTTCAGCTGCTCCTCGTGAAGTTCTTGCTGCACACGAGCTTCATTTTCTCGGGCTTCCTTCAGCTCCTCCTCCAGGAGTTTCTTGTCTGAAACACGGGCCTCTGCCAGCAGGAGTTGCTGTTGGGAATCTTTGAGTTTTTGCTGGAGTTTTGAAATCTCGGATTAAAATTGGACACGGATTAAACTTTCTGAATGTATAGGCCAGTATCTGAATCCAAGGTATTCAGATCCCTTTGATCTCTCGGTATGTGAGTCACGAGAATGAAAGATTTGCTTGCTTCTACTCAAAAGTACTTCTGCATGTCTTTGTGTCAAAGTCCATTAAAACTAAAACCTTCCCAACAGCTGTGAATTACCAACAATCCTTTTTGCACCCAATTTGATCCTGCACACCTCAAAACCAAACCCAATGATTAGTGCAGGAACACAGCAGAATTGATGCCACAGAAAACACCAACTTTTGCAATTTACCGAACAGCAAACAGCAGCAAATCTCCTTGGCAAGAACACAATCTGGGCTCCCTACGCCTGCCACCCCTACCACCAGTATTTTCAGACTTACTGAGCTTTAGAGACAGGGTTTGGCTTTTATTGTCTTGATTATGCTCCACTAATAACAGACATTTCTCCTAAAATATTTAGCCAAGTGATCTCAAAATGGACTTAACAAAATGGACTTCAGGGAACTGATTCATGGGCTGCTAGTGCTTATTTTTTCTGAACCACAGAAAACTGCTAAAAACATAGCTCCTGTTAACTTAGTTCACGCTGACAAGTTACCTTCTTTTGTCCTTCGCATACTTTGGATTTCTCCTGTGCAAGTTTCTCTTGCAGACTGCTCTGCAGTTTTTCAGCCTGGGAGCACTTCAAGAGCTCTTGTTCGAGCTCTTTGACCCTCTGCTGGCTTTTTTCCCACTGTGCTGAGAGAGAGGAGCACGTTTCAGTTGTGTCCGAGAGTTTGGCCTGGGCTTGCTTCAGCTCAGCTTTGACCTGAGTTTCAAAAGAAGAAAAAAATAATCGAGTTTGAACTACAATATCTATCTGAAACGTCAATCAGGAAAGGGGTAATAGGATTACTAGACAGTGAAGAGGAATAAAAGAGAACAGTATGTTTTCTTGGCAACTTCCAAGGAGCTGAGACAGAGCATGCTTGAGAGCCCAGGTATTGTACAGCCAAAAGTAAATGAGGTCCAGTCTGTTGAGCTCCCCTAGAACTCAGACCTCCCCTAGATTGTAAGACAACGTGATGCTCTCTTCCAGCAGCTCTCTTCCTGCTCTGTTCCTACCTTGGTGCATTCCTGTTGGAGCAAGAGGTTTTGCTTTTGTAAGTCCGCATTCTTCTCCCTTTCGTATCTCAGCTCCCTCTCGGCTGAGCTGCACAAGTTCTGAACGCGACGCAAGTCCTGTCGCAATTGCTGCATTTTTTCCTCCTGCTGCTGGAATCGCTCATTGGGCAGACTCTGCGGGAACAGCAAAACAACAAAGGTTACATGGTAATTAACTGCAAGGAAAGATAAAGACTGCTAATTTTAAAAGGTAGATGTATGCCAGTAGAATTTAAGGGCATTTAAAGAGGAAGATGAGTAAAGTCAGGCAAGTATTTCTTCTGCCCCCACATAAAGTCCTGCTCCCTACCCTGTCCATCCCCTCTTGAGGTTGAGGGCAAGGATGCAGTAACCTGGATGAGAGAACAAATCCCTGTTAAAACTAAACCATCAGACAAAAGCAAAACCACCCGGGTTGTTCTTAACTCTTGTGCCAGAGTCTCACCAAGGCAACTACGCAAGGAGTGGCACATCCAGCCACAGCTCCCAGAGGCAGCAGGAACCAAGCGAGTCCTGGCAGCAGTACAGGAACCAACAAGCTGGCACAGTGCAACAGCAGCCTGGACACCAAGAGGTGGTCACCGATCGTCTGCAATGGCTTTCAGAACATAATTGAGCTCCGTATGATCTTGACCCATACATTAGATTGAGATTCACAGAGATTTTAGACCCCTCTGCTTAAGGCAGATTGCTTTTTCCCTGCACACAAGTGTGTGCACTCTGCACAGCTGGAGATGGAGTCCCAGAAATCTCTGCAGCTCAAAGCTACACATAAGGAGCTTCCCATGTCTGATGTATGAAAACACTTCTTCCCAGCATCACTTTCTGTCCATCTGCATTCCCACTTTGTGTCTTCACCCTCTGTTCTTGGGACCAGATGAAATCCACTGAAGATCAAGCTTCCCGTCTCAGATAAATCCCAAGATAAGTTCCCAGACTGGGAAGTCTGGATCCAGCACTGTAGGATCTGGCAGTGTCATTTGTCCTTGAGATCAGTTAGGCTTTGTGGGGTTTTCTCCCCACCTGCTTCTACTGGGATTCTTTTCAGCATCCCCTCTACACCTTGTGTCTTGCTTTGGTCTGCTCTGACTGTACAAATTTGCTGCTTCTTGGTATCAGCACCACTCTGATCCTCTCCTTTCCACTCCCTCTCCTGCCTACAGGCCACCCTGTCCTCTCTTCTCTTCCAAACTCTTGCATATAATCCTTGCTTCTCCTCTGACTCCTCATTCTGGGTACCTTCATCATTTCTTCCTCTTCTGGCAGGGCTGGCCGCTCTTTCTTTTCTTTTTAAGATACACAGTTAAGAAAGGTGAACAAATTGCATTTAAACCACAGCCAAACGTACTGATCTATACAGGTCTTGATTGCCAGCTGGTAGAGCAATTGGAGAGCAGTAACTGAGACACAGGCATGGGGCTGCAGCAAAACCCAGCTACTTGTGAGCCGCTGCTCGGGGCAGCGGCTGTGGGACGAGTTCAAGCAGTTGCAGGATGAGTGTAAGTAAAAGAAAGAAAAGGAGTAAGGAGAAGCAGGGAAGGGGAACAGCTTCTGCCTACAGCAAGAGCAAGGCCCATTGTGAGAACAGCAAACCCAGCTCTGTCGCTCACACTCCAAAAAGGAGCTGAGAAAGAGCTCCAAAAGGTTTAAAACTTCACTGAAGAGCTATATAACGTGTTTATTTTGTGTGCACTAAGGGGGCCATTCAGTTTATCCAGGTTCCCACTAAGTCTGAAAACACAACAGAAGGAAATTACGACATTCATACTTTGCAGACATTTTCCCCAAGGAAATCAGTCAGTCTCATCTCCCCTCTGCATGTTAACACTACAGGAGTGGTTTCCAGTCCACTTTAATTAGGTTTTGCCACTAAATTAATGAAAAAGAGTACAGCACAGATGGCAGAGCTGCCCATACCTGTTTAATGCTGCCATCTAAACTGCTCTGCGACACGAGAAACCTGTTCTCTCTATGTGCCATGCCTGGATTCATCCTCAAAGGCTCTTCACATGTGCCATCGTCCTGCTCCCGGGTAGTCAGGATCTCTTGTTTTAGCTGGGCAATTTCTTCCAGTAACAACCGTTTGTCTTCATTGCTTTCTTCTAGCCGCTTTTCTAGCTCCTCCCTCTTCTTGTTGCTTTCTAGTAATTCAGAACTTGAAGGAGAAATAGTGAAGGAGAGAAATAACTATACATAGCCAAGGGAAGCCACTCTCTGAAGGAGAAAAACTTGGGGTACAAGAGTCCAGTGAAACGCTCAAGGCAACGCTCAAGTGTCTCACGAGGCTCCAAAGGGGATTTAATCCTGGCTCTAGCAGTTCTGGGCAAGGGTCAGTCTACCCTGGACACTGATCCACAAAAAAATGTGTGTCCAAAGGGTCAGCTCTCCGTCATACACGAGTAGGTTAACTGCTGGCTAGGGAAATGCTCACACGAGGCCATGTGAGCTGGTCCATGCTCACAAGCAGCACAGAAGCACTCACACAACACCTCACTGTATGGAAATAGGGGCTGAGACCTCCTGATCAAGCTGTCTCTCTCACCTCGATCCAAACTATATGTCTCTATAAGGCAACCCACCTGTCTTATCCTAGTTTGACCTTACCTCAGTACCTAGTTCTCCAGGTAATCGAGCTGACTGGAACTATACTGGATTTAATCCAAGCTTTTGCTTTCTAATGAGAGCCTGATGGTGCTCCAACTCCAAATTTGTATCCATCTACTGAAAAAGGGGAGTCAAGGGACCTGTAAGAGGTTTATTCACAACCCCAGGACCTGCTGACACCTGCCCTCCAAGGACAACCAAAATCCACAGCACGATGCATACCATCAGCTGCTGGCAGCAGTTCACCCCAAGGAACCCAAGCCCATGACAGGAGCTTTTTGGGATCATGTTAATCCAAATGCTACCTCAGTCCAAGAGGAGAAGCCTCCTCCCTAAGAACAGCTTCAATTTATGCCTTTCCTGCAGAAAAAAAAGGTTTCCTCCTGACTGATCGTGATGTCACTCAGGGAAATGCTTATTCACCAAAATCTCCACAGGGCGACATTACCAGATAAGGAAGACACAAAGCTGCTGTGCCCATTTTTGCCACAAGGAGCACTATGGAGATTTTTAAAACACTAAAAAAAAAAAATCAGTCAGCAAAGCTAAGGAGCAGAAAATATCACAGGCCTTGTTAAGGTTTACCAGAGGAGTTCTTGTTCATCCCTCAAGTTTTTCATCTGTTCTTCCAAAAACACTACTTTAGCCATCTGTTCTTCGTATGTCTTTTCATCCATACATAGATCTTCATGTTTCTGCTCGAGTTTGTTAATCTGTTCTCTTTCCTGTAGCAGTTCAGAGACCTGTAAGGTCAGAAAACACCAAGACTTGGATTTTCTTTGGTCTCACAGAAACCTTTTGAGCAGTATAAGGCAACCTGGGGACTCCACCAAGACACGACTTGTGATTCCGTAGCTAAATTACTGTAGTTCTTCATCCTTGAAGACAGATGTGCAAATCCTCTTTTCTACGTGGGAAGTAGCTGCGTGTGAACTATCGTCAAATCACATTTCTTTATTTTATTTCATCCTTCTGTTGCCCATCTGTAGTTCTCAGGGCTTTGTATCTTGTGCCATATTTCTTTACAAAACTAGCAATTCTTGGAAAAATTGGAAGAGCACAAGGTATGTATTCAGCTGTCTCACACAGAGCATCCTCCATCCAAGGCACAGAATGGTAGGGGTTGACCCAAAACAACTTTCTACAGATGGCTGCTTTCCACGTTCAGCATCACCTAATGCCTTAGCACCAGGCAATGGCAGACCCGAAACCTGAGACATGGAGAGAAGATGCCAAGAGAATAAAAGGGGCAGGAAAGGAAGGTCTGAAGAGTCCATAAGGACACATGAACTCCCAGACTGGAGCAGAACCAGAACCTGCCCAGTCTGATACCTCCTGCTAAGTGATGGTGAAACTAAAAGAAAAATGCTATTAAGCCCATTAAACACTAGCAATTACTTTGATTCCTAAAGCTTTTTAATCAGTAGCTCTTTCTCAGTGTATGCTTGTACTAATATTTCAATTCCAGGTCTTCCTATCTACACCAAGATGAATTTATTTATATTTGAGGAATATATGCTAGCAGCTTCTGTCTGCATCAGACACCAGAACAAGGGGGATTTCTTTACATTTCTCACCTCTGTATCTAACAAAGCATTATCTTTTTGTAGCTTCTCATGGGATACATTCATGAGATCCCTGCTTGCCGATGTTCTTTGGAGACTCAGGAAGTTATTACAATGGCTTGTAAACTCTGATTTTGAGTCAGGCAACCCCTAGTGAGGAAACAGCAGGAGTTAGTGGATGGAATACACTCCCAACTACAAGCTCAGAAAAAGCTTTATCCTCTCAAATGCCCAAAACCCTCTTAAAAACAAGAAGAGTTCCATACACTTGCAAGGAGCTCTTTGCACCGTATCAGTTCATAGCACATCACTAAAATTTACAAGAACAAAAATATTATCCACATCACTTGCCCATTCTATGTGTTGGACATCCTGACAAACACAGCATTGAACAACCTCTGATCTTGACCTCCAGGTGCATATTGCCCATAAGAACCCCATGATTTCATGCCAAGCCAACTTCCCAATACAGCCACTCTGGCAAAAAGGGACTGAACCCATTTGTGAAGCCAGGAATCCCACCAAACACATGCAAAATCCTCTGTTTTAAAGACCATTACAGTCTAACTCAGACCAATGGATTTCATCTTGCAATCCCTTTGATGGAAAAACAGTGCTCTCCTTAGGCAAAACAACCAGCCAACCGGTGGCTGAATTATAACCAAATTTACGGGGATCTGTGATTTTGATTAAAAGGTCTCTGGACCATGACTAGATTGAACTACTGGGATGCAAAGGTTACATCCCATTTTCCCCATTATCCCCCAGATCAGACTTTTCATGTGTGTATTCACAGACTGACCTAGCCCCTTCCTAAACTGCTCTTTGGCAAGGCTTGGTCTGCATGCTGAGCTTTTACAATGTGAATTTGTTGCCTAACAGCACTACAAAAGTCCTGTCCTCTAGATGCCACTGTTCCTCCAGTAAGACTCTTGTGTATGTGCGGCTGTACCAACGGTTCAGGACTTTTCATTGTTTTTCTACTTACATTCAAGGAAGTGACATGGTTTAAGGCCTCTCAGAGCACTAAAAAAAAAATGGATTTTGTAATAGCTGTAACCCCTTCCTTTGCTACAGTCCCCTTCAGGTCCCCCTTGTCTGCCTTATCCAGGCCACAGATCTGCAGCTTTCCTAAATTTTCAGCCCCCATCCTGCCTGCACCAGCCCTTGTGCAATTTTGCTGGCATCACACCCTCTCTCATAGAGGACTATGGCCCAACTGGAAGACAAGCACCAGCAACACTGCCAGCAGAGATAAACCCACCAGATGTCTACTTAGCAGTTAAATTGCTTCAGGCAAAGTGTACTGAGGTCCTTAGGGCATGTAACAAAAAGCAGTGCCATGATCCCAGCAAGCTGTTCGCATAGACTTCTGTGACTCTTACGTGTTTGGACTAGTTATCATGCCATATTCTGGTTAAGAAATAATAGTATTGATATTAAAGGGGACCCATGTTAAACAGATTCAAAATTAGGCAGTTGATTGACCTCAGAAAAGCAGTCACTGCTAACAGGTAGACAAGATGTTGCTCTGCAGGGAGCTCTTGGCTCAAATCTACAAGTACCTGGCTATGTTGTGACATGGAGAGAAAAGGGCTCATGATCATGAGCCTTACAATCACAAGTAACTCTGCAATAAATACCTAAGTGAAAACTTCCACTCTGCCCTCTAGAGGAGGCAGCTTTGGCTACAAACTTTGAATTACTGTTTTGCAAGTAGGTTCACTGAAAGGAAAAATAAATTACAGAGTTAGAGACAGTTCCATTGAAGCAGATGGATTCAAAACCATCTACCAAAGAAGCTTTGAAACTGGCTGGACTAGAGAGACGTGTGAAGCGAAGTCAAGCAATGCACTTGTGGGCAACTGGGGATGTTTTATGGAGCCATCCAAAGGCAACTGCCTGCTGCAGGGAGTCCCACTGCAGGAGCTGTACGCACCTGGCTGCCCAGCACCTTCTCAGCCTTCAGATCCTCTCGTAACAGTTCAAGCTCAGATGCAAGTTGCTTTCTCCGCTCTCTCCGCTCTCCCAGCTGACTTCCCAACTTTTCTATAGTTTCCTGACAACTTTCCAGCATCTGGAACAAGCAAAATTAAGAGTCACTTCTACAGCATTATTTATTCTACCAAAAGAGAAACAAATTGCAGAAGATGTGTCTTCCAGAAAACAAGGATAGGAAAAATGGTTCTCGAAAGCTGCCAGCAGGATTCCTGCATCAGGGTTGACTGTACATCTCTGAAGGCCTGGAGCCTCCACCTGATCAAAGATACTTTGGAAAGGTCCTCTCCTGCATGGAATAAGCTCTTTCTGGCTTAGATGCCTGGCAGATCCAATTGTCTGGCTGGCAAGTAACAAATGGGCAGCAGAGTCAGCCCAAAACCAGCTGGGAAACAGCCTTGTAAATGCACCTATGCACTACTACCTGGGTTTCACTAAACCCTAAACAAGACTCAAGCACCTTTACATGTGTAAACCCTTCACTGTCACCAGGGAGCCAACAAGCTGTTGAAGGAAACCAACAGTTTCCAACAGCTGTTGAAGGAAACCAACAACCAACCAGCTGTTGAAGGAGCCAACAGTGCTGAAGGAAAACAATCTGAGAGATGAGTTATCAGGGAGAGAATACTGCTTGCCTCCAAAGACATCCATTGGTCTTGTATGAGCTGATGGGCTACAAATTCCCAGAAAATGGTGACAGAGAGCATTCAGAGGAGATGCTCATTCAATACGCTTCTAAACAAAACTATTTCTTTCCCAAGGAAAACCTCTTACCTCTTCCATCTCTTGTGCTCCAGATGATGCCTGCTCTTCCTCACTCATCTCAGTTTTGTTCTTCTGTACTTCAAATAACTCTGTCTGTAAACTTGTGATCTTAACACAGACAAAACACAAATTAAAACCAAACCAGTACTCACAACTGCACAAGTACGACTGAATTGCTGCTTGTGCTGCTGTTACAGAGTAAGCCCCATGTTTGGAAGTGAGGAGTAGGAGGGGACGTGGAGAGCCGCCAGCGTGGGCGAGCTCCAGCTCACATCTTTCATCCTGCTGCTTCAAAGGGTGAAGGAGCCACCCAAGGCCAAGCCAGAAAGCGAAAGAATCTTGCTCCACAAAAGGAGAGAAACGGCCCAGACGCATGGTGAAAATTCAAGGCCTCCACAGCTTGTGGGCCTTCTACATGCTGCTCTCCCAACATGACGGACCCCTGTGACCCTGATTTATATCATGGGCCATGCTTCTTTCACGTGCTCTTGCAGTGCCCCCACAGCTGATCTCATCCAAGCAGATGTTTGACCTCATCCACCAGGACTTGTCCTGCTCCCTCCACCGCTCAAAGGAGGTTGTAACTCCCTGCTGCGAGGCTCCGAGGACTCTCAACTTGAGCCAGCAAAACGCTGACCTCTGTGCTTCTCCTGGCAGAAAAAGAGTTTGTCTGGACAAGTGCTCACTCTGCTTTTGTCCCTGAGGCATCTACGTTTGTGGAGGATCTCATGGAAATTACTATTTCCTGCAGTTTTAAGGCTCAAAGGAGTGAAGAGCAGTGCAGCTTCTCCTGATTATGGTTCTGATTATTGCAAAACCCGAGTCTTGGCACTCACAGCCACTCCGCTCTGCTGCTGGCCAGCCCAGCATTCTGCAGCCTTCCCTTCAGCTCCTTACACTCAGAAGAAAGTTTGTTTTCTTATTTCTAAACCACCGAGCTGGTCTCCCAAACTGCCCAGGCTGGGCTTTCACTGCACGAGGCTGCAGAGCAAGCAGGCACACTGGAAGCAGATGAAGTCCAGCTGCAGATGAAGACTGGCTTCAGCTGTGCTCAGCGTAGCCATACAAGTGACGTCCATCGCTCCACTCACACAGATGAGTGTATGGTGACGCATATCAGATGCCTCATGCCTTTCTCACCCTCCTTTCTTTGCACTTATTCGGAGACCAGTTTTCATTCCTTCCCAATGGGAAGCTAAAGCTGAGAAGTGTCAAGTCTCTGCCATCCTAGTCCACGTAAAGTGGTTACAAAGCAGCACGTCAGAGCCCGGGACCTTGGTTTCCACTGACAAGCTTGAGGCACAAGATGGCTCTCGCAAAGCTCCCAGCAGGAAATGAGCTCTAATGGAGAAAAGCTGCTGTGATGCTGTTTTTAAAGACAGATTATGTTACCCAACCTAGGTGTTCAAAGCAAATTGGTGGGGTGAAACACCAGGCCTCTTATAGGAGAGCTAGACGGCAATAAACCCCCCTCCTCTTGCATGACTAGATGATAGCTTGGGATTCAACAAGATTTTGGAGCTCTGAAAGGGATCTGAAAGGCAAAATACACAACTTCCCTGCCCACCCCCAAGCCAGCCTTTGGTCATGAGGCTGATACCCAACTATGCATTTCCATAATTTTACTTATTTTTTCTCCAAGCCACTAACTTTTAAGTATCGTAAGCCCTGTGCCAAGGGCAGAACAACACTCACATTGTATCCCGCTGTCCTTGTTCTGAGGCAGGGGCCTAATCAGCCAAGATTTTTGTAGGTGTGCCAAAATAGAAAGTCCTTCTCACATGGAGCAGCCTGGCAAACACCCAGCAGCGCTGCTCTCCCCAGGCTCCAGAGCACCTGCCTTCATCCAGTCCTTCCCTCATTGCACCCGAAAGCCCCTTGGAGACGAAGGGTGCAGCTCTACAGCCCTCCATCTCAGCAGATGCTGATCTAACCAAGGGTTAACCCACCTCTTCTTCCATCACCCAATCTGCCCATGTCTCCTCTGCAGCCCTTCGTGCCTATTTTCTGTCTCTTTTCCAGCTACAGCGGCTGCCAAGCTCATGCCAGACGAAATGCCTTGCATCTCCCTGGCTACTCGGTGCTCCCTGCTGCGTTCCCCCTGCGTCCCCCAAAGCGGCATTCCCACGGATCTGTTTAACAACGCATTGAGCGAAGAAAGGACTTCTCCAAACTGGAAATGCATCTTGTTTGATTTGTGGAGGATTGTGTTTACTCTACTTCAGTGAGAAAGTGGGAAACATTTTAGCATGTGCTGAACAAAAGCGTGGTCCTGGTGGACAGACCTTTTGCCATTCCCATCACAGAGCCTGCCCTTGGCTCCTCAGCTCCACGCTTAGAAACCCAATGTTTGCTGGCATCCTTCATTAAGACGTTTGAACATGCCTTCTGTCTGTTTCACTGTATTTGGAGACTTTTCTCTCACAGCCAGAGGCTACTGACAAGTGATGCATCTTTTCTTCCTTTGAATAATTCCTCCTGGAGATGTGCGGCTGCTTCAGCATTCACACAGGATCTGCCTTCACACCTGTACCATTTCCTGCATCGTGTTTTAACCAACAGCAAGTGTATGGACGTGTCCGAGCACCACTCTCTCCTGACTGAAAACTTGTGTGTGCCCTTCCTTCTCACCCTGGAAATCCAAGCTCCTCCATGAACTGGTCCTGCTGCCTGGCAATTCAGGACCAAGATCACTGCAGAGAGCATCTGGTAACCACAGAGGGGACAGGGCAACTCAGCCCAAGGAAGGAGCAGCTTTTGGCCAAGCAGCAGGGCTTCAGCCAAAGGAAAAGACCTCCTCAGCCAGCCTTTTTGGGCAGAAACCCACCTACCCATTTAGCAAGACCAACCTCTGGCTTCCTCTGTTCTCTCTGGTTATAAATTCTTCAGCTGCCCACTCCATAAAGGATCACACTCCCTGGTAGTGACACTGCACAAATGCTGCAAAAGGTGTTTTCCCTGGGGGCAAGCAGTGACAAATGAGTCCATAAGTGCAGGTGCTCCTCACAGAGCTACCTCCAGAGGGGTGGAGAGTCCATCCAGTAAATCAAGGCTAAAGACCATGCTGGCAAAGGCAGCATCAGGCTGAGAAGTTTCAGCAGTAACTTAATCCTTGCTGAAGACATGGATGGAGACGGCTCTGCAGGTGTTGTAAGGAGGCCTCTAATGTTGCCACGATTCTGGTAAACCAAGACAATCATCACAGTGCTTCACCTCTGCAATCCCAGAGGTTCCTTGTCACATGTAAATGAGTGGAAAGAACAAAGACTTTCTATCAACCTCCTAAAGTCAAAGGATGATGTGAATGGGCTTGTCCTATTGACAGAAGATCCAGACTGCCCTGGGATGAGGGTGCCAGGGACACAGGTCAGGAGGACACTGGTGAGATCACTTCTTGATCAAGATTGAGCAGAGCTTCTCCCGATGCACCAGCTTATCACAGCTCTTCAAAAAGATGTCTCCAGCCATGCCCACCCTATTCAACAGCAGATGCCGCAGCCAAGAGATGAGAGAAACACAAAATTTGTTATTTTCAGCAGGGACATCCCCAGGCAGTGCAGATCCTGGCCCCCCACACCCAGAAGTGCCTCGGTGTTTGCCAGGGGGGCTGACAGATCTCCATGATGCTGTGCTTGGAAAAAAAGCCGAAAGTGCAATCTTTTGTCATCAGTGTGCTTAACTGGTGCCCTTCCCTGGGATCAAGGAACATCAGTGTCCCACGCTGACCATTTTCATCTGTTGGGCAGGTCTGGAGAGGGATTGGGGATTCAAGGCAAATCCTGAACTTCTGTCATGGGTGCCAGGTTAAAGGACAACTCATGGGCTTCAGGAAAACCTCTTGGCTGTCTTCTGAGCTTCAAGAGAACCTGGGACTTCCTGGAACTTGTTCTTCTGCAGGAGCTGCAGTCAGAAGAAACAGCTGTCCAATGCGGAGAAGCAGCTCCTGCAGGAGACAGAAGCTGAGCTCCAACAGAAGCACTGGTGCCATCTAGGACAGCCTCTCAGGCAAAGTAAAAGCTTCTGGGCTATAAGAGGTTCAGAAGAAATAGCTCCAAAGAGATGCATCTTGAATTTGAAACAAAGAGGCTTTGCATCAGCTCAGCCAAGAAACCAAAGGGTGCAGAGCCCACACATCCATAAAGGCTGCATGGGAAGGGAGGGTGCCTGACCTCACTCCCGGGGATGCAGGAGGTGCATCACCGAGTTAACTCTGCTTGCCC